TGCTGTACCAAGTTCTCCAATGATATGCTTTATTTTGTTCTGAGTGCATAGTCACTAACTGCCATAGAAGGGGTGTCTGTGGCTAGCAAGGATTAGTCTTGTCAACAATACCTGACGTTTTCCTAATTATGTCTCAGTTACAGTTGGCACTATCAATACTGAGAGACCAATCGAAAACAAATAACTAGGCTATGAGTTGGGCTTCAGTTATAGTTTCCTGAGTGTGTGTGTGTGTGTGTGTGTGTATGGGTGTGTGTGTGTGTGTGCGTGCATGTGCATGCATACATATATATTCAGAGAATTAAGTAGCCTTCATTGATCATTTTCAGTATGTTAGAACATGAATATGCAATTCCAAGGAAGGAACCATGTGGTATTTTTAAAGACAGAAGCCTGGAAAACCCCCATACAACATTTTCATTTTGTTTCCATGCATGAAGAAAGGCAATGGATTAAGGCAATGGATTTATAGGCTTAAGCAGCCGCCTGGGAGGGAGAAGATGTGTATCAAATCCAAACTCACCTTCATCAAGGTGTGGTCTCTTTTCTAACCTGGGGTTCCTTAGAATGAGGGGCTAGAAGAAGAGAGATGGTGTATAAGGCCCCTTCTAGCTCTTTATCTTTGAATCTGTGATTCATTGTCATGAGTAAAGAGCAAAATGCTAATTATTCAGGAACTGGTCATCCTTTCTGTAAAATTTTAGAACTAAAAGAAGCCATTTGGACCAACCTCAGAATAGTTAAACTATTTGATTAAGGCCACACATTTAGTTTTTCCTAGAGCAGGGTCTAGATTTAGGTAATTGATTCCAAGTCTAGTGTCCCATCTGATTTTATCCTCTTACAGTTACTGGGCACCTACCATGAGTGACACCCTGTGGTTAGGCACTGGGACTGTCAGAAGGCATAACATTCAGTCCTATTCTCCAGGAGATCGTAGTCTTACTGGGGGAGGGAAGATAACTGTCTGGGGAGATATTGACAAACACCAGCACAAATAGCCTTTGGTCCTTGAAGTATCCTCCCCTCTTGGTTTTGCGACGCCATGTTTGTGGGCTTTCTTTTACGTCTCTGGCAGCCTTCTGGGACTTCCTGGAAAAAAAATCTATATCTGTATCTAGAGGAAAAAAGTCTCTATTGTTCCTTCACACCACCTGCTTTTCAGGTCTGAATTCCAACTGTCAGAGACTGACGTCTGTAGGAAGTTTTCCCTGGCACAGCAGAGCCATAAGCCCTTGTGTGACTTTTCAGTATCTCCAGAGGTTTTAGGAAGGATGGTGTCTTCTTAAAATGCATTTAGATTAAATAACTGGGTGCCCAGAATGAGGCCAAAAACTAATCCTGGCCCTTCTGCTAACTTGCTTTCGGAAAGTGATGTAACTACTCAGCTTCTTGGTCTTCCAGTTGCAAAATGGAGATAATATTTGCCAATATATCCTCTTTTCAGTGTTGGAGTTCATTACAATTTATAACTATTATATAACACTGTTTCCCCATACAATGGCATCCATTCCTCTGGCTTCAGTCCTTATCTACATACCAAGATGTCTACCTCCTACCTGCTGACCCATCTAGAAAGCTGGGGGCTAACACAGTCTGTTTCTGGTCCCACCTGCGTGTTCAATCAGTCACCAAATCCTATCACCTAAATTCCCTAACAGGCCTCCTGCAAATTCCTTGCTCTCACTCTCTTTCAATTCATTCTCCACATAGGTGGTGTCCCAAGGGCTGGGTTGGAAGAGAGGTTTGTCCAGGATATAGCTGGGAAGGGGTGCATTTACTGTAAATAATGTAAAAGCAATACTAAAACCTATTAAAAATCAGTCTGTTTTTTATTATCACTATGCACTGGCAATTCTCAACAATTTCAGCAGTAAAATACAAATTCCTGAAGAAAATTTTTTTGATGGTCTGAGTTCTATGTAATTACTGCAGTTGCTGTTGAGTCTTAATAATATACCAACTTCAAATTAGCTCATTTTTAATACTTACTCTTTAATACATGTTGTATTTTACATGGAAATTAACTCAGAGAGCTCCCAGTTACATAGCGGCCCCTGACATGTGTGAATTTGGGTATACACATTCGTATGGAGAGTTAAGTTCATGATGATTTTGGGATCAGAGGAGTTCACTTTGGTTGCAGTTCTTGTTTCCAGTTCTTCTGGAACTACACAGTCAAGCATTTAATCAGTAGATCCAAAATAAACAATGAGAATACAGTGACTATAAAGATGAATAAACAGAACTTAAATTTATTTCACGTAACCACAGAGACTTTATATGTTTAACATTTATTATGGTGAAACTATGAGGTTTAATATCTTTGGTGTGTGCTCACTTTAGTTCATACATGAAGTGATTTACTAAAGTTAAATAATGCTTTTAAAGTTGAGAGTATTGTTTTTAAAAATATTATTTTAAAACCAAATAATTCAAGAGAATAATTATTACTGAAAATAGTTTGCCCTTGTGGTATAATAAGAAATATACATCTGGTCTTTGTCTCCCGTTTCTGACACAGAACTGCTCCTAAAATCCCTCGGAATTCCCTGAGTGATAGGAGTGTCCTTTGTTCTAATGAGATGACTCTTGGTGGGCCCATAGATGGCTTCGTTATGGGGGTGGTTGTCAGAGAGACCAAACTTTGATTAGAAGCCTGAAACTTTCAGTACCACACTTCGACCTCCAGGGAGGGGAGAGGCGCTGGAGAATGAGTTAATAATCAATCTCACCTACATGATGAAACCATCATAAAAAACCCTGAACAATGGGTTTCAGAACTTCTGGATTTGGAGGGAGGCACCTGGAGAGCAAGGCCGCTCCATGCTCCCTCTTCACACCTTATCCTGTGCATCTCTTCCATTTGGCTGCTCCCGAGCTATGTCCTTTATAATAAAGCTGGAATAGTGAGTAAAGTGCTGCACAACTTCTGTGAGTGGTAGCAAATTGTCAAGCTTGGGGGAGGGGATGTGGGAACTCCCCATTTATAGCTAAGTTGGACAGAAGTGTGGGTAACCTGGGGACTTGGCACTCCTTAAACGTATGGAGTCCGATGTAACGTCCTGGTAGTTAGTGTTAGAATTGAATTGAATTGTAGATGCCTTGTTGGTGTTAAAGAATTCATGAATTGGTCATTGGTATAGAACCCCCATCCCTAACATTTGGTGTTGGAAGTGCTGTGAGTAAAAACAGCTCACTGCCCTGTAGAAGAGGGGATGTTAAAAACAATCTGCTGTGGTTGGCTGTTGAGTACCCAACATGGTTGTCAAGTACCATGGTGCAGTGTCACAGCTTCATGGGGTGGCCAGAGTGAGATTTTTGAAAGCTCGGGTCTGATCCTTGCTTAAAGCTTCTGGGTTCAAGCCCTCATTGTGGCCTCTTAGGCCACCACAGTCTGCCCCTGCCTACCTTGCTGCCCCATCTTGGGTCATTCCTCCCTCACTGTCTAAGCCACACCTTCCTGCCTCAATGCCGTGTTACACACCGTTTCCTTTGCCTGGAGCAGTCTCCCTGGGTGCCATGCTCCTCTTTATCCTGTATTATCCGACCTCCTTCCTACTTCAGTGTAATGTCTCTTCCTGGGAAACGCCTTCTCCAGTTCCCTAATATAGCCTCCCTGTGATCTCCCCACGTGCTATATTTCTTTAGCATTAACCAAGGGCCACTAAACATGGGACCATTTGATTGCTGAAGCCTTCTACAGCTAGATTCTGAGTAGCCTGAGGACAGGCACAATATCTGTATGGTGACATTTCCATTGGGACTTCAATGCCTGTCCCACTGGTGTGCCATAATCTTTGTGGCCAGTGAGAGGACAGCTGGCAGCCGGCTCTTTCCTAGAGGAGTTGACAAAGGGGGCTCTTTAAGGTCCTTGTGTTTTTGTTTTTACAGTCTTTAGGGAGGCAGATCCAGATCACCGATTGCCTTGTCTTAGAAGACGATGGGGTGGTTGCTGTGGCTTGTCATCAGCCCCACTCTCTCACTCTGCCTTGCTGCCATGGGGCCGGCCAAGCTGTGACAGAATGTGGGCTGAAGAGACTTTTCTAGCAATGCAGGGATGTTCTTCAGGCACTCAGCACTGCCACTTTATAGAACATCTCTGTCCTCCCTGCCAGGAGAATCCTGTGGACTGGATTTGAATGGTTTTCTCCCTGTTTTCCCCACCAGCTCCCCATGAAACAATATCTTATTAGCATGGGATTCTATAAAAAACATACTATGTTGAATGGATACTACATTCACTTGGCTTAAAAAATTAACACGATATAAAAAGATATCCTTTGAGAAGTCTCACTCTAACCCACATCATATCAGTTTCCAAGGGCTATTGTAACAAAGAACCACAAACTGAGTGGTGTAAATATCAGAGATGTATTGTCACACAATTCCAGGAGCTAAATCTGAGATCAGGGTCCTGGCAGGGTTCGTTCCTTCTGAGGGCCGTCAGAGGGAATCTGTTCCATGCCTCTCTCCCATCTTGTGGTTTGTTAGCAATCTCTGGCATTCCTTGGCTTGTAAAGCATCACCTCAGTCTCTGCCTTCATCTTCAGATGGTGTTCTCCCTGTGCATGTTCCTGTACCCAAATTTTCCATTTGTATAAGGATACCAGTCATATTGGATTAAGGGCTCACCCTACTCCAACATTCTCCCATCTTACATGCTGAGGCACTGGGAATTAGAACTTCAAAATATGAATTTGGGGGATCACAGTTCAGCCCATAACACATATCTCACATGATGTTTTAATATCAGATTAGACATTTATGCAGGTAAAAAACACTTTATGATTATCTGAACGTAGAAGGTAACACAGATATAGACAGGAGGCAAGGAAATACTGGATAGAAGAGGGCACTTCCCCAGCAAAGGCACCACCCTCAAGCCTGGAAACCTGCAGACCTAGATGGGAATGGGCATTCCTGTTTTCACACCCAGTTGTTATCTTTTGGCCTGCCATAGCCTCCTATCCTGTACTCATATACACCTCAAACCCTAGGCTCCACAAGCAGATGAGCAGAAGAGCAGAGGAACAGAAGAGCAGCACAGCAGAGGAGGAGTGTCTGAGTGTTGAGAGGAGTTTGGCTGGGGATGGTCGGAGAGGAGTTCGGCCACGGGATGACCAAACTCCAGGGGAAGATCATTTTCCCACTCCATCCCCTTTCCAGCTCCCCATCCATCCTGCTGAGAGCCACCTTCACCACTCAATAAAACCTCCTGAATTAACCATCCTGCAAGTCTGTGTGTAACCTGATTCTTCCTGGATGCCAGACAAGGATCTGGGTACCAAGAGGGCACTGAGCTGGTTAACATTTAAGCTGTCTGCAGATGGCAGAGCTAAAGGAGCACTGTAACACATGCCTACTGGGGCTTTAGGAGTCACAGGCACCCATCCCTAGACACTACCATGGGGCCGGAGCCCAAAAGTGCTCACCCTGGCTTGTACACCATCCCATCTGCAGGCTGCCCCTCCTATAAGGGGTTTGAGTGCCTGGCAGCCGAACATATGCACCACACCCCTGTCGCATGTCCTGTAAGGGGGTCAGGGAACTCTCCAATTTCAACACTATTTTACATATAGACTCCTCAAAGTAATTTTTGCACAGTTTTAATATGCACCAGCCTTCTCAGAAATGTAGCCACCAGATTTATTGCAGGAATGGTGTGCTTTTGTTTGTTTGGAAATTTACCAAGCGTTGTTTGTGTCTTTAGAAAGTCATGTCATTAGCAGCACTGTGCATAATATTTTTGTCACCAAGACAACTTACTTAAAGCACTCTAAAAATTCCAGGTTCCTGCTACTGTAAACATGATCTGAAAATGCTTTTTGTTACATAATTGTTCTTTCGGAGGTGGAAAGAATGTGATTGCACAATGTTCTAATCCAAGTTTACCAATATTTCCTCTGAAAATATTATGGGATGTACATATGAGACATATATATACACACACACACACACAGACACACACACACATACATTTGGTGTATGTTACATGTTTGTGGCTCCTAGGAGGTACAGAGCATAGTCATACTGTAAAATGCTCTGAAGATTCTACTATCACTTTTTATAATTTATACTAAGATTATTAATTTTTATTAGCTTCACATCCATCATTCTCATCCAGTTGCTGGGGGCTCTGTCTGCGCTGCCTAATTTTATTCCTGAGGTTTCAGAAGCCCAACATAATACTTGTGTCTTCAGTTAAGGATTTGTAATGATGGGAAATGTTCCTGAGATTTTTAGGTATAATGACTCTTTAAAACCGAAGGGTGTTAAGTTCCTTGTTTAGCATATGCACCCATACAATTTAGTTTGAAAATTTCAGTCAGACAGAAGCTGTCAAAAAGAGATCTGAATATTCGATTAGAGTTTTCAGCTTTCACCCAAGTTCACAGATGAACAATTTAGGAGGGCAGAGGCTGTGTGCTCTGTTGACATTCATGGATCAATTGGTGTGCAAATATTGGATTCTTTCTTGCTGTAATAACAAGCAAGTAGCATCAATTCTACTCTCCAAAATAGCAAAATTATGAAACACTCAAAGGGACATATGTGTGTATGTATGGGTTTAGAAATCTTTTTTATCCAGAGAAACACAGCACATAGTAGGGGATTAGTAAAAGTGTGATTAAGAATCACACTTTTACTCCAGCCTGGGCGACAGAGCAAGACTCCGTCTCAAAAAAAAAAAAAAAAAAGAATCACACTTTTTTAGGGCTAGAAGGACCCTTAGGGATGATCTAGCCTATTGCACCTGTTTATAGTTCCCCTTTTCAAGTGATGACACTGAGGTCCACAGAGGTTAACTGAATTGCTGGTGATTGTTCATATCCTTGCCCTGTTTTGAGAGATCTTATGAAAAACAAACTTCTTGCATTTTTATGTGGATGTCTTTTGAGGATTTACCTTATGGGCTACTAGATGGCTCTCTGAGGAGTATCCCCATAAGAACTCTATTTTTGGCTTTTTTAGCACTTCATTTGTTTGCTTCAAATATCATAGATAATGAAACTTTAAGGTAGATGCGTCTTTATAACTACCTTTTAAATTATCTTGTTTATGAGGACCTATAAAATAAATTTCTCAAAAAACTCAGACCTAGGGATATTTGTTATTCTTCTGAGTTACTTTGATACTACTTAATGGAAAGTAGGATTCTACTTTTTTCTTTGCCTTGGCTACTAGGGAATCCAGACTCAAATTTGTGAAATTAAACATCTTAATAGCACATAGGATGTTATAATTTTCATTTGGTAAACTCACCTAACCTGTGGCCTTATTTTATTTTTCTACCCATTTTCCCGTCTTTATTTCTATTTTCTCCGTTCTTTATTTTTATCTTACTGAATTGTAGGTATTTTAAAGTTATATGAGATCATTTTTTTTTTTTTTTAGACAGAGTCTCGCTCTGTCGCCCAGGCTGTAGTGCAGTGGCCGGATCTCAGCTCACTGCAAGCTCCGCCTCCCGGGTTCACGCCATTCTCCTGCCTCAGCCTCCCGAGTAGCTGGGACTACAGGCGCCCGCCACCTCGCCCGGCTAGTTTTTTTGTATTTTTAGTAGAGATGGGGTTTCACCGTGTTAGCCAGGATGGTCTCGATCTCCTGACCTCGTGATCCGCCCGTCTCGGCCTCCCAAAGTGCTGGGATTACAGGCATGAGCCACCGCGCCCGGCCTGAGATAATTTTTAATATTAAGCTTAACACTCTTCCTTGGAACTATTATTTATTTAACACCAAAACATGCTAGACATTGCCAATAGACCAACCTTAGAAGTTGTGGTAAGACAGGTTAAAATGATAGAGAATCTACATAGTTGTCTTTTTAGTATTGAAATAAATTTTAGGGCCCTACTGGGTAGAAAAAATAGAAACGAACTCAGGGTTATTTTGAGCTCCAAGGCCTCTTGAGCTAACTGGGAAAATATAATATTTAATACATATTATACAATATGTATTTAATACATAAAATATAATATTCCTTAAAAATATAAGAGTGAAATTAATTCAAAATTCTCTTAAGTGGTATAGTAACCCTGGATGGGGGATCTGGGCTCAAATCTGACTTGGAAATTCTGTCGTATTACAACTCTACTCCAGAGATGTGGATGTTTGATTATCTTCTTCTGTGTGTTTTGTAGTCCTTGTTATAGCTATAAATAGGGTTCTGTCCTGTCTGTATTTTAAACAAGAATTCAGTCTGCATTCAAACTAATCATTATCTTGTTAAGAAATTTTTTGTGTAGCAAATTGAAGAGGCAACTCCAAAGATTCCTTGAAAAGATAGCTTCAAAATTGTGATAATTAATAATTTTTAAAAAAATGAGTTAAAGGACTAATCCTAGAAACATTCAGAATTAAGACTATAGACGTTTATGAGAATAAAAATACATGATATTAATATTTTGTGTAAAAATCTGTACATATTTGTTTTAGGTATTTGTACTCTTTTACAGGATTTGGCTTATTAAAGTAACAGATTATCCTTGTGATTCTGATTTAAAATGTATAATTGATTAAATGTTTTCTAGTTGTAAGCCAACATTTTAGTTCATGCCACTCTGAGCCCTGGTTTATCTCTTCCTCCAAGAAGTGACTGTTAGTATAACTCAGTTATCAGTAAGCAAGTGAATGTTTAATTTCTGGGTGCTGTTTCCTTTTGTGCACAAGCTGTCTCACTTTCCCTGGATGTACTGTGCTCTTTCACACCTGTGTGTGGTTCTTCGACCTACACATTTGTTCCAGATACCCACCACCAGTCCTATCTCTTCTCTAGCAAGATTTTCTTTCTCTTTCTCTTTCTCTCTTTCTCTTTCTCTCTTTCTTTCTCTCTTTCTTTCTTTCTCTCTTTCTCTCTCTCTCTTCTTTCTTTCTTTCTTTCTTTCTTTCTTTCTTTCTTTCTTTCTTTCTTTCTGTCTCTCTCTCTCTCTCTTTTCCTTCCTTCCTTCCTTCTTTCCTTTCTTTTCTTTCTTTCTTGTGTCAACTTTTATTTTAGATATAGGGGATATGTGTACAGATTTGTTACATGGGAATATTGCACCAAGTAGTGAGTGCAGTACCCAATAGGTAGTTTTTAAAGTCACAACCCTGTGCCTCCCTTCCCCTGCCCCATCCTTACTCCCCTTTCTCCCCTCTAGTAATACACAGTGTCTATTGTTGCCATGTTTATGTCCATGTATGCTTAGTGTTTAGCTCCCACTTGTAAGTGAGAACATGTGCTATTTGCTTTTCTGTTCCTGAGTTAACTTGCTCAGGATGATGGCCTTCACCTCCAGCCATGTTGCTGCAAAGGACAGGATTTCATTCTTTTTTATAGCTGCATAGTATTCCATGGTGTGTATGTACCCATTTTCTTTATCCAGTCTACCATTGATGGGCACCTGGGTCGATTCTATGACTTTGCTATGGTGAATATGGCTATGAACATATGAGCATACGTATCTTTTTAGTATAATGATCTACTTTCCTTTGGGTATATACCCAGTAATGGGATTGCTGGGTCGAATGGTAGCTCTGTTTTAAATTCTTTGCAGAATCTTCAAACTGCTTTCCACAGTGGCTTAACTAATTTATATTCTCATCAACAGTATCTAAGGGTTCCCTTTTTTCCACAGCCTTGTCAGCATCTGTTGTTTTTTTTTTGACTGTTTAATAATAGCTGTTCTGATTGGTGTGGGATGATATCTCACAGAATGGCTATTGTTAAATATTATTACTTAATAATATTAACAATATTAGCAATAAGTTAAATATTATTATTAAATTGTGGTCTTGATTTATATTTCACACATGATTAGTGATGATGAGCATTTTTTCATGTGTTTGTTGACTGTTTTATGTCTTCTTTTGAGATGTGTCTATTCGTGTCCTTTGCCTGTTTTTTAATGGGGTTGTTTGTTTTTTGCTTGTTGCTTTAAGTTCCTTATAGATTCCAGATGTTAGACCTTTGTCGGATGCATAGTTTACAAATATTTTCTGCCATTCTGTAGGTTGTCTGTTTACTCTGTTGATAGTTTCTTCTGCTGTGCATAAGCTCTTCAGTTTAATTAGGTACCACTTGTCAATTTTTGTTTTTGTTGCAATTGTGCAAGCAGGGTTTGTTTCAGCCTCTGTACTGCTCTTCGCTCCTGCCTGAATAAATATCTTTGACTGTCAACTGTGGAATCATGAATCCTTCAAGGACAGATCAT